AAATAATTCATCGCTTTCTCTTTTCTTTGGAACTCGTAATGTTATTGAACAGTAATAAACTTATCATTTGTTTTGCCTTACATTTAAATATATACTTGAAAAAATGTTGCAATTTGCTTTTAATCATTTGGCAATGACTTTATTATTTGATGACTTATTCGATGAAATCGACCATTCATACATCCGCAGCCTCATAGCGTTACGATTCTAAGAAAGATTATTTCAACCCACGTTTGTTGCAATGTTCGATTACAAGTTCGATTACAAGCTCTTGAAGTTCGACCTCAATTTCTCGAAACATCCTTTTAGTATTTTTCATTCGACAATGTTCGACGCGAACAAGGAGCAATACACGCTCGCCAAATTGTTACCAAAGAAATCGTACGACCAGAGGTTAATTACTGTCAAAATGTGTGATATCGTTACAGGCGATAAGTTTGAATTTCCATATTCGTGTCCTCGAACCTTAATCAAGGGTTATGCGTCATCGTCTTCATACACGGAATTATTAATCTTTATTTGGAAATATGAACTAGGAGCGAAGCCGTGAATGGGTATCAGAATGTCCCCCGCAGCGCTGATAAAGCATGGAACCGTCCACAATGTTCTAGCCATTAGTCTACGCCAACTTCGTAGGTACTTAATCTAGGTATTAGACTTAGCGTCAAGACGTGACATGAAGTTTCTCCTATTTTACACAGCGGGTAATGCCGCGGGAAAACGGCGCTGGCTTGAAGTTTAGATGCAAATATTCTCAACGATTTCGCGATGGTCATTCAGTTTTCACAGCGAAAAAAGGACGCGGCGTGTATGTATGTGTGTCTATTACAATGTTTGGATTTCCTGGCGAGAGCCCTGATATATTCTTTCAATCGTTACCTTGTATAGGAAGCATTTAAAAGTCAGCGATAATTTAAAAATTGTCTTACAGCTAAAATTTATGTCCTCGATAATCGATCGTGTCTCTGTTGAATTTATTTTGCATGATTATCGTACGTACGAGATGTCAATTTGTAGTTTGAATCTTGATAATTTATACACAGTTAGATCGCTTAAGGGTACGTGAACACTTATTTCTGATCAGGCGTCATTTAGTTACGAAAGTAGAAATATTTAATTACAAGTAGAAATATTTGGAATGATTTTTAGATATTTATTGGAATACAATGTTACAAGATAACGAGCAACCAGTTTCACGAAATATTTTCGCTGCTCTTAATTTAATATTGTAGCTCGTTACGGATACATTTCATTAATTAATTAATAACATATTCATGATACACGTGTGGAGCGTAAAAATAGATAGAAATCGCCGAACGATAAGTTCAGGAAATTTCTTTCCTTTTTCGCAGAAATAAGGTAATTTCTGCAATCACAAATTTACGCGAGTTTTATGCCTCCGTGCTTATCAGCAGATAACAGCAGACTGAACAAACAGCCGTGGCTGAACACAAACATTAGTTGAAGCTTAATCGAGTCAGAGACGATTCTGACTAAGTTCCTCATTTTATCAGCAGGCCAACGTTTTCCGAGTTTTTGTAAACGTTTTCCATTCCGCGTGCTAGTTTTCAATATTAAAACTCTTTGAAAATTAAATCACTTCTTGATTAACAAGCCTCCCGGCGAAACAATAAAAAACATTTTATCGCATTCGCCAATTTTTTTCTCCAGTCTACCAATACTACCAAAATCTACTTCGTTCATACTTTCGCTACTTCATTCAATTCGAAGTGAATCTCACGGAGTCATTTTTCGAGTTTTGTAAACGTTATCCATTCTATACATTCTTCTCTTATATTGTTCTTAATTCTCCGATGATTAAATCATTCTCCCTAGCGAGAAGTGTTTGCCAATTTTCTTCCATCAATATCACTGAAGTATACTTCGTTCGTCTCTCTGCTATTTTACTCAGTTTGAAACGAATAACACCGAGTCTTTATTTTTCGAATTTTACATTCTTCTTCTAAATTGTTGTTGATCCTTTGATTAAGATTAAATTATTTCCATTGAATTATTTTTATTTTTATTTCATTGATGCTATTTTTACTGAAATTATTTTAATGAAACAATAAAAAGTATTTCATTGTGTTTACCAATTTCCTTACAATCTACCAATATCAGTGAAGTATATTTTGTGCAGTTCGAAATGAATATCACACAGTCTATATTATTCGAATTTTGTAAACTATTTATTTATTCTCCCAAGCTGTTTTTAATCATCCGAGAGTTATTTCTTATTTAACAGGTCCCCAATGAAAGCATAAAAAGTAATCATTAACTTCTTCTAAATTTCTTCTAGACTAAATCACCCATTTTTTCATTACTTCGAAGTGAATGTCACTAATTCTATATTCGTAATAACCCACAGATTTAATCAACCAAGAAAAAGAACAATATTGATTGTCACTTGTTAATTTCTCTTAAAATTCGTTTAAAACTAAATATTTGTAATCGCTCCAAATATTTATGATCCAAAGCAAATATTACAGAGTAACCAATTCTAAATTCGTAATAACCAAAATATCACTGACTCTAAGTTCGTAATAACAAGAATATAGCCAGCTAACCTAAGCGAGAAAGAACGATATTGATTGCCAACTTTTTTTTAAAAAAAATATACGCGACGACGAACGTCGTCGCAAAATCTTCTAGCAAGATCAGCCAGCGGATGTAATGGATCGGCAAGACGCCTAAAAAGCATTTCATTACGATCGTTAATTTCTTCGAAAATTCTTCCAAACGAAATACATGGCCCCTTTTTTCATCACCTCGCTCAATTCGAAGGCGACTATCGCCCAGTCACTGATTCCAAATTCGTAATAACCCGAGGATTCAGCCAGCCAAGAAAGCAGGCAAGGAAGAACGATATTGATTGCCAGTTTTTTTCTTGAAAGTAGACGCAAAATCTTCGCCGGTGGGTGCCACGGATCGGTAGTATGGCAACGCCGTACCACCAGTACATTTGTTTGGGGCATTTGTGTCCAGAAATTATTGCCACGTAATGTCCGTCCGGCGAAAGTTGCGCGAACGGTTGGTCGCTAACGTTCGTCGTTTTTGCAAGGACAACGGGGATTCGGCCAAAAATAAAAGCTATCCACCACCGCGTGGCTCCGGCAATTATCATTAGTTGCACGCGCGCGCGCGAGGGAGCCAGCGTGCGTCGCAGCGACATTTCCGGCGGAACAGAGCAAATTCGGGCTGGAGAACCCGTTCGGCGAGTCGGTTTCTTTTTCAGCGAACGAAATCCGCAGGATCCCGATGGACGGCCGATAAGAAGTTCCTCGTCGACGAGGAAAGTTGATCGTGCCTGGAAAATTATGTCCGCGCCCGCGCCTCAATTAAGGAGACGAAGTTAAGCGACCCTGGGACACGGGGACCAGTAGCGAGTTAATAATGGGCATCTATGAAAGCGGCCGCGACTCTGTTCCTCCTCTCCGGTGATTTATCGCGAACTGGCTTTAACGCGACCGGGGATCTCGCTCGGCTCGGAAATTTTATGCGATCCTGCGCGTACCGGCTGCGTCTAGAGATGGGATCGAGCACCTCACAAGTAGCTACGAACTTCTACCCGTTGGACTCGAACTCTTTCTAGCTGTCTCCGACGGTGATATCCAAGTGACGGGCTCAGGATCGGAATTGGGAATAATTTATGCCACGCGAACATCTTTCTGTCGATGAAATAGTTTAGTAATAGTTAGTAATCATTGATATGATATCGTAACGCATCTACTGAAGATTTTTGATTAAAAAAATATATGTTTGTACAAGTTATAATGCCTCAGATAAAATTATAATTGTAGAATAACAGGGGAAAGAAACTGTAACTGTGTAATAATTAGAACGAAATTTAATTTTGTAGAATAACTTGAACGAAATTTTAGTTATAAACTCGAAGAAAACTTGTGACTGCCTAAGAGCACTATCCATCATCAAAGATTGCTAAATACTGAATTTTTTCAGTACTACGAACTTCGTAGTTTGTATATAGTTAGATTTTATCTAATTTGTGTTTCTTTATTCTATGATATCTATATATAGCTATTATACTGAAGCATTTTCCACTGCGATAATAGAATAATTATTTAAATATTCCTTCTGTTTCGTTTGTACTCATATTTATTTCCTGCACTCGTGTCAAGTTCTAGAGTTTTGTACAAGTTACTTTTAGTAGGAAATGACTTCGTATAATGCCTTAGATAAAATTATAATTGTAGAATAACAGGGGAAAGAAACTGTAACTGTGTAATAATTAGAACGAAATTTAATTTTGTAGAATAACTTGAACGAAATTTTAGTTATAAACTCGAAGAAAACTTGTGATTGCCTAAGAGCACTATCCATCATCAAAGATTGCTAAATACTGAATTTTCAGTACTACGAACTTCGTAGTTTGTATATAGTTAGATTTTATCTAATTTGTGTTTCTTTATTCTATGATATTTATATATAGCTATTATACTGAAGCATTTTCCACTGCGATAATAGAATAATTATCTAAATATTCCTTCTGTTTCGTTTGTACTCATATTTATTTCCTGCACTCGTGTCAGGTTTTAGAGTTTGAAACTAGCTTCTGTAAAATTAATACATTCTACTCACTCAATGTATCTTTTGCATACAACAAGTATTATATATTTTTCATGTGTATTGCATTCATGCATTGTGCTCATTAAGTGGATATATATATTCAATGCATCATATTCATGGATATTTTCACTCTCGAGTAGTGTTCGAAACGAAACTTGACTCGAGTTGAGTATATATTGTGTTTAATTCCATCCCTAGCTACGTCGAACGTCACAGGAAACGAGGCGGCAGGAACGTTCGAGCGAACAAATTTGCAAATACCAGCGAACCGGCGATTCGCATGAGTCTGATTTAAGGAATGCAACAATCGAGGCAATAGAACTGACGTGGGTATTAAGGACTCGAAGGCCGACGAAAATTAGGAAAGTTGCAGAAAGAAGAATGAGGTGCATGTGGAATTGATATTTCAAAAGAGTCACTGTGTCGAGTCACGCGAGTCGTGCGATGAAAGAGAAACGTGGCTCGGCGTATAAAACGCCAGAGCGTTTTGCAAGAGCTTGGTCTCTTTTATGCACTTTTCCTTCCCCTCGCTCCTTCCATCTTCGTCTCGAATGCGAGTTTCCACAAGAAATGAAAATTTTTACGATAATTCGTTACCTCGAAGTTTCACGTGGCCTAATTCGCCTTCCCGAGATTGATCGTTCTTGATGTACAACTTTTCTTTCGATCTTTTCTTTCCCCGTCGTTCACATTGCATTATCTTGGTTTTCGTATAAAAATTTATAAAGTAATATACACACTGTAGCGAGATGAAATTTTCAGCTGACGACATAAAATCCTTTTACTTTCGATCGTCGTGCAATTCGAAATTGAAAAGTTCGCGAAGTTTCAAGAGTAGTGCTACGACACGTACGCCGTTTATTAAACAGATATTAGGAATGTTAAAATATGGAGAGAATGGAAATTAGATATACTAAAACCATTCTGAGGAAAGTTTCGAGGAAAATGGCATCGACTTACGTACTATTTTGTACGTGCAACATCATTTATTTAAAAGTCGTTGTGTCCATTATTATATAAAATTCATTTATTCTAGAAAATCTCTCTTCAAAATTTAATCGAACGAACATCTTCGACGTTTCTACGCGTTTCAGCTTTTGTTCCCTTGTCTTCTGTCTCGAGTTTGCCCGCTGTCCTTGAAAATTCGTTTAATTCTCCGCTCGAGGATCAGATACCATTCGATTCGCGTGTCGACGGCGATTCTACGCTCCGTCAGGGTTAATCGCGGCGTTGTTCAGCTTTCGTGGCCGTTTTCGTTCGCTTTCTGAAAGATTGCCAAGCGATGCACAACACGGTGTCGTTGAACTTGCCGTTGGTTCAGCCAACGTTGGTGACGCAACGCGACATCCGACAGGAATACATGCCCAGTCGCGGAAAGCGAGCATGTGGGCAGACGAAGGTGCAGCCGAAGCTGCGCGACGCGGCGATTTTCGCGCGGGGGCGAAGTTTGAAGGATGATAGGTCGCTCGAACTCGACAATTTTCGCGGAAGTTGCGACAGTTTGTCTACGTCGCGCTATAGTATCGGGTAAAGTTCGCGGGCACGAATAAGCTGTTCCATGCCTGGTTCTCGCAATCTCGCCCATCGCGCCTTATTTTCTTTGGCCCCGCCGCGGAAAAACATAGCGGCGCATTAACCACGCTCGCAGTTATTTCAAGAAGTTTAAGATCTTAAAGCTGCCTCGCGCAAAACGCCTCCTCCCCGCCCAAGTTTCCGTTATCGTAACTTCTTTTTACCTTCGATATTTACTGTTCCTCTCTCTCTCTCTCTCTCTCTTTGCGAACTACCGCCTCTTGGTGTAGTTTGGCTTTGCACATTCAAATCTACGCGTTTCAGAGGCGTGTAAAAAGATCGGACCTCGTCGTCGTTGTCATCGTCACGATCGTCGTTTCCTCAGGGAAGTATCGTTCCGAGGAAACGAACACGCGGAGGATGAAACGGTGGAAGAGGAGGATTCTTTCTTTAGTGTATATACGTGTACGTGTGTATGTGTGTGTGTTTGTGTTTGTGTGTTTGGTCGGAAAAAGAAATGATTAGCTGCTCGGATACGTGCTCGGTAGCGATCGACCGCATCCGGCGCATCGTCGGAATAGATTCGAATTTTGTCTGGGCATTGGGAGTGTGGCGGCAACGAACGAGAAAGAGAGAGAGAGAGAGAGAGAGAGAGAGAGAAAGAGAGAAAGTCGTGATTGCTTCGGCCGGAAGTACTTTCCCGGGGTAACGTAGAATGGATAACAGTCCCAATAAAATCTAATTTAACCTGGGAGTACAAACTAGGAGATGATACATTTTGTGGTCGACTGACTCGAAGTTGCGGCGTAACAGACGGAAAATAGGTCCTGCGAATGTGCTTGCTCTCTTTCTACATACAAATATACAGTGCACTTTTGTCCTGCCTCCTCTCGCCCTTTTCTCGGTCAAACGCTGTCAGAAAAATGTGTTCCACAGACGAAAATCGGAGAAAGATGTTATACAAACGCGTGATGAAAGAATTATAGGGAGGGGGGAAAAAAAAAAACGATACACGAAGCGAGCGATAACGAGTCAGTTTCTGGGGCACACTGTATGAATACTTGCATTTAATAGTAGTATCGTAATATTTCTGCAGCTCTCCAAGATCGCCTGACCTCTCTCCATTAGACTTTTATCTTTGAAGGATAAAGTGTACTAATACGCGCGACGAACCAGTCCGAAGAATTAATTATTCATTCGTCGATTTAAAGCAGGTCAAAATGATTTTCAACGAGCAATATGTTCAAGGAATGGTGAACGTTCTTAAACGAAGTTGTTGTTGAAACGTAACCTTTTTTTTTTTGAGTCTGCTGGCAAAGTTATGCCGGAAAAATGAAGGACATATACATATGTTGTACATTGTACATAATACAATAATAATAATGAACACCGTTTTGTTATAATTTCGTCGCTTGTTAATTATAATTTGTAATTATAATTTGTTGTTTTGGTAACCATGTTTCCAACGATGTTTGTTTCACATTAAAATACTCGTGCGCATATATTTACACGCAAAATCGCAGCTATGGACAACACGCACGTAGAGGCATTCCGGATAAATAGAAACAGACAGCGATTGCACATCCCACGGGGCTATTATAGCTGTTCGGATACGATTGTAATTGGCAAGTCCATATCCTCAACACGTAATATCCTTCCTATCCGTTTCCTGATCCGGCTTTCATTAATTTCTATTTCCGCGTCGGTCTACGTCCATCTTGGCAACTCCAGATACCCAGCAATCGGTTTAACGACCTCCTCCATCCAAATTCGCAAATATGTTCGCAATTTTATAACCTCCCATCGATCCCTCGTTTCCTTCCGTTACGAACTTATTCTTCCTGCTAGATTTGCCGTTCTACAAAGAGAACCGTCCAACAGAGGATTTGTTGTCAAAGTGTTTTCGATTAATCGTTCACGGTGCAATGGGTTCATCCTCTGTCGATGGACGGATGGGGCAACGTGCTGTTGCGCTGCTAAGTACGCCGATAGAAAGGAAATTATTTCGATATTTCAGCTTCCTCGAGAAAACGAGATATAGCCTTCCTTTGTACATTCGTTCTAATAATTTCGGTCCTGCAGATATATTATCGGCGGAAACGTTTGTTTTATCGCGAATTCGCGTAATCCCTCGACCATTGGAAAGAGAATTCAACGAAATAGAATGAAACGTCAAATTAAGTAAATTTGCTCTTCAGTCTCGCGCCCGAGGCATCGGTCGTGTTTCGAAAAAAAATTCTCAACAAGAAACGGTCTGACAAATACCTGAAGAAAAACGCGCCCTCGAAAGAACGAGCACAAAGCCTGTTCGTATCTGTTTGAAAGTCAAAGACGGTCGGTAAGCGGCTTTCTCAAATTTTTCCTTCCCTCGTCGCATGCAAATTATTTCGCCGAGGCCAAGTCTAAACGAAGGCGATGTTTTTGCGTGAATTTATTAACGAAACTAATTGCTATTGCTGTAAGAAGTAGCGGCATCGGCCAATCTTCTGGCACGCGTGATTAATCGAGCCTAAGCAAATCCGTAATCCTTCGTGCACTAACGTCATTAAAGTAACGTTGACATAGTAACGTGTTGCATCGAGTGACGTCGGACAAAAATAATCTTAACACGACTCACGGAAGCATAAAATTTCCATCAGCGACATTAGAATTGATTATGAAGAAAAAAAAACGTAAAGAAGAACGAAAAAAATCATTCGAATCTCTAAAAATGCACTGTTCCGCGTCTATGAAATTTCTAAGGAAAAAAATTACGAATTGTAATTTTTCCCGTTTCCTTGATAACGCTCCGGCGTTAATAAATAATCAATACCTCGTATTTTCGATCGTTTCCCACGCAGACGTAATTTTTCCGATTCATTATTTGTTATTTCGCGGAGAAGCCAATCTAGCGGCAGTATCAATCTAACTAGTTCGTGACATAACTGGAGACTGGAGTAATTCATCGACGTTGAGAACTGTTTCCGAGGGATCTCGGGGCGAAAATGAAGATAGATATGGTTATGCGGCATGCCGGGCGAGAATAAACACTCTTTCGAACAGCTGGGGGTGTGGCAGGGCGGCGGAGCAGTGTGTAACTTGAGTTTCACTTAATTTTAATTGGATCGCAGAAAGCAATATCGAACGGTATGGTTTAGAAATTTAATTAAGAGCAGCGAGTACAAGTTAAAGAGGTTTTAATTAGATGGCAAGCTTCTGATGAAAAGTGTTGTAAAGTTAAAGCTTGCTATTTTCGGTTCACGGGCCAATGTTAAATTAGTTATAATCCAATTAGCTTAAAAAAGAATTCGACGGAATTCGCGCGTGCTCCATCCCCCACTTCCCGCGCCCTTCTCTCCTTCTCGCCACCTCTCTCTCATTATGTACGGAACGTTTTAATTTGCGAACGTCGATTCGTCCTCAAACGACAGCGACGGAAAAGAAATTAGCGGCGCGTTTTATCACCGAGAGGATAACATCGTGTTCGTTAATTAATTTTTATCCACCCGACCATCAATTCTTCCCCTTTCCCCCCGCCAGGGGGGGGGGGGGGAGGAGACACGCGTCGCCGAAAGGATCGCATTCGCCATTCAAAAGTGAAATATCCCCGCCGGAACTCAGATATTCTCGCTTTTCCTGCAAGAGTCGTTGCCATCCCCCGTTCCCTGCAATGTATCACTTCGAACGACCCCCTCCTCCCCCCAGCCGCGCGCTAATTTATCACTGACGGGCGTGTAATCAAATTTGTTTAAAATGACGCAGAAGCAAAAACGATCGATAAACGTATGCATAATGGATAGGTTTACAAATCGATCGGCCGGCATGTGGGCCAAGCGGCCGCACCACTTTATTATTATTCCAAGCATCGGGCCGCCGAAATAATTCAAATCGAGGCGGAGGTGTCCGGCGGCGATACGATCGATGAAACC